GGGGGGGGGGTGCGGAGATGGCGGGACAGCGGATAAAGCAGAATGCGGAGGCGGAGGATGGGGTGAAACGAAAGTGCGGGCGAATGTGAAGTGAAAAGGGTGTTATTACAGTAGATCAAGCGATAGGTTGAGTGGGCAGGATCGGGATCCAGGGGGCGGTGGATCAGGGGGAGTTAGGGACGAGGGAGATAGAATCACAATTTGAAGAGGGGGGTTTCGCGGGCGGTGATTGGCTGCAGCCGGTTTTTTATCGGCGGGAAGGGCGGGAAAGGAGTATCGATGGCGAGAGGCATGGCCGCCGTCGTGGAAAGCGAAGACAGCAACGGACCGACGGTACTGCCGCACACGAATCACATTTAGATCAGGCCTTCTCGGGCAATCATCTTCGAGCTTTACAGTACAGGAACGAGTGGAAAGCAGCCTCGCGCAAAGGAATCATACAGTACCAAGGGTACAGTAACAACTGTGTGTGAAAACGATTTACGACCCTCTAAGCATATGCGAACGGGTTTGCGATATGCCCTACAGCGCGCGCTGTTATCAAGTGCAAGGGATGAACTTGCCTCTGTTTTTTATCGTTACCGGGTTAGTTAAGTGCAGTGTAGTACATTTGGGAGGTACCGAGCAGCTAGAGCAGCTAGTGCTCGGACTTTCCGGGAGGACACAACTGAACATTTTTTGGTGTGAACCGAACGCTTTCGGAACGGACTTTCCGACCACACGGAAGTTCCGCCGGGTTCGAGAAGGCGGTCGTAGGCTTCTCGTTACATCAATGAACCGTTTAATTTTCTGTAATTTTCTTGGACGAAACCCCACACTGTGGGGGCTCTCTGTCCAGCCACCGTCCCGACGGCGGCTGCCGCCACGCGTGCAGCCTTTTGTTTTCGTTGTCACCCTCCGCTTCCTCCGCACTGCGTAGACGCCCTTGCTGGTGAGTTGGAACATGTCTTCCACCATTCTGTTTCCAGTCGTGCCACTCTTCCCGGCTGACGTATTCTACTGGATGTACAGTACCGCGACCCGTTGGAAAACTGTCTTTTCAAAACACCAAACCAAAACCTCCCCTTCTTCCCCAAAAATTTCGACGTCGTACTTGGCACCTACTGTATGATACTGTACTACAGTACAATCAGTATGCCACTGCACACAGGATCTAATCGTAATCCATTCACAGTTCAGTACAGAATCCATACTGTACATTTTACTGTAATGTTTCGTACATACAGTACACGTAGTACAGCACTGAACAACTCTCAACAGCACGTCCGGTCCGCTCCCCTTCTTTGCCCCCCGTCCGTCGACCTTACCCACTCTGCAAACCGGTCGTTAGCCTCCCGCCTCGCGCGGGCATCTCAAAACCCGACACAATCAAGACAGCCTAGCCTGCTGTGAGCGCAAAAGTTTACCCTTGTTGACAGGACATCAACCAAGGCCCTCTACCCTGCTACATACGATATGTCCTCGTCAACCCTACGGCGTCAATCTCTGCGGGTCACGTGGGAACAGCGAGCATTCTCGAATATTCTCTATGCCGAGAAACAGCATGACCACACGCTCCAGCCCGATCCCGGCGCCCCCATGCGGCGCCGCTCCATACTTGAATGCCTCGACGTAGTCCTTGATCGACGCTATTCCGTCCTCCCCCAGCATCGCCGTAGCCCTCACCTGCAGCAGCTCGACATCATGAATACGCTGCGCGCCCGACACGATCTCCTCCCCGCGCATCATGATATCGTACGAATTGGAATACCGTCCGTCCGTCGCGTCCACCATCGTGTAGAAGGGCCGGATATTGGACGGGAAGTGCGTCAGCATGAAAAAGTCCGTGTCGTATTTTTCGAACACCAGCTTACCCAGGAGCTTCTCCTTCTCAGTGTTGATGTCCTCAAAGTCTCCGATTTCCACCCCCGCGCCACGTAGCATTTCGATGGCTTCTGGCCACTTCAGTCGCAAGTTCGGCTTCCCAGTCCAGTACTTGAATTTTCGCACGTTCCACTTGGATCGCACCACCGCTAACTCCTTGGCGTATCTCTTTTCTAGTCCGTCAAAGATCGACACAAACATCCCGTCCAGTACATCCAGGATTTCGTTGTAGTGCTCAAAGATTTCCATCTCCAAGTCGAGCCCGGTGAACTCGCACATATGCCGATGCGTGTGACTCTTCTCCGCCCGGAACACAGGCCCGATCTCAAACACTCGTCCAAAATCTCCGCAGATCGCCATCTGTTTGTACAGTTGTGGGCTCTGCGCCAAACACGCCTTCCTTCCAAAGTACGACAACTCAAACACATCAGCTCCCCCTTCCGAAGCTCCAGCAATAAGCTTTGGTGAGTGTATCTCCGTGAACCCCTGCGCGTACAAGAATTCGCGGAACAGCTGGCACACCCCGCTCTGCACGCGCATCAGGCTGCCATGCGCCGGTACTCGCAAGTCCACCACTCGCGCATCCAGCCGCGTATCGCGCGTCACCCTCGGACGCGTGATCGCCCCGTCCTGTTCGTTCGCCTCGCCACCCGCCTCGCCATCAGAGCCTGCCGTGTCGCCCAAAGGGCGCGCCGCGTCGTCGAGCGTCATCGGCAGCTTTTCGTCCGCACGCGACACAATGTAGATCTTGCTCGCGGCAAGCTCGACGGTAGACACGGAGCATTTCTCGACGCGGCCGCCCTCCGGCGTTGATACCTTGGCATACACGTCGACGATGGACTCCGCTGTGACGTTCTTTCGCGCCCACTTGAAAAGATCCTTGCCTTCTAGTACTGCTTGCACGGTGTCTAGCGACCGTCGCAAGGTAACGAAAGCCACTTGGCTTGTGACGACGATCTTGTGGACGCGTGCTCTCACCCAGACTTGCTCACCGACTGTGACGCCTTCGAGTTTGGAAACCGATACAAAGGTTCTTCCAGATCCTGCGGTAGGGCATTTGCTCTGAATGACGCGGTAGGAGCCGAAGGCTGAGGAAGGCTCATCGTTAATGGAAAGGTACTCAATGCCAGAAACAAGGGCTTGGGCTTTGCTCGAGGCTTCGGCGGCAGCTCGGGCAGCGGCAGCTTTGCGCTCGGCCTTTTCGCGCTTGGCGGCTTCCTTTGCAGCCTTTTTTGCTTCTTTAAGAGCACGCTTCTCTTCTTCGGTCATGTTAGCACGGCTTCTGGCTGGCACGCCCTCACCGGTCGGTTGCGGGTCCATTGTAGCGACAGGAGTAATTCACAACGAGTATGAAAGGAACGATCTGGTCGATACACGAGCTCGAATTGGTGGGGTGGCTTTGCCTGTTCTTGTAACAATGAGGAAAGGCGGTTTATGTCGGTCGTTTGAGAGTTGCCGATAGTCTTTGCCGTGCTGGCCACAGTACATAGTACAGTACCCTGGGTACTGTATGCTGGGGCATCATTCCGTGAATTCGCAGGGGCAAGCTGCGGCGTCGTAATACACGTGGCTTCAATTCGACAGCAATGCAAATGCTCGAGATCCGATTTCAGATCCAGCGTTGCAAGGGCACTGTAGATTAAAGATCGAAAGATCGAATTGTATCAATGGCATGTCGTGTACACGTTGTATCGTCGATGTCCACGTTGGCTCCCCGTTTCGTTGGAAGACATAATCCAAGAAGACTTTCTCAAAGAGTTAACAGACCAACAAAACATTCACACGGACGTTTAGCATATACAAGTGGGCTCCGTGCGCGCTTCGCGCGCCAAGCCAAGTCCCTTCCTCCTCCGCTCCTCGTTCTGCACACGCTGTCGTTCCCCGCCTCGCTGCTCCCGCTCCCTCTGCGCTAACTCTCCCGTCTTCTCTCCGGTCTTTGTCTCCCCTTGCCCCCTCGTCCTGCCACACGTTACTCGCCCCTGCGCGTCGCGCCCGGTCCGAGCCGCCGCCCTCAGCGCCGCCGCCCGCCTGTGTCGCCTTCCCCCCCGGCCGCGGTTCGGTCCCTGCAGCCCGCAAACATGGTCAGCGCCGCTGCTCTCCACGCCGCCGCTCGCTTCCGC